CAGCCGCCACAGTTGTTGTTCTATCGCTATATAAAGAGGCACTGTGCTGCCTTTATTCTTGGATAAACTGCACATATGTATAAATTCAGATCACTGTGGAAATGCTTATTATTGATTTTTTTAACCCTCAGAATTTGCAGGCAAAACTGTAGATAACTTCTAGCCTTCATAACTTCAGAACGGCTTAAGCTACATACATGATATACCTATCAGACCATTCAGTGGACCCAAACTAGCTAGCATGACATCACCAAGCTGTGACATCAGCATCAGTGAGTATTCGGGTTGGAAAATCACCCAAAATCCTCATATTATTTATCTGCTTTTTGGCCTTTATATTGCAACAAAGGGTTAAAACAGCGAAATGATTTGCATATTAGATCACTCATCAGCCTCTGCCCTCACCATCCAGAGTGATTTAATCCACCTGTGACCATCCATCAGCCAGCAATCCAGCTCCAAAATCACCCAGACTCCACTCGCTACTGTTATATTATATCTCTGTTTTTAGCCTTCATATTCCAACAAAGGGTTAAAACAGCGACATGATTCACACATCAGATCACTCAGCAGACTCTGCCCTCACCATCCAGAGTGATTTCATCCACCTGTGACCATCCATCAGCCAGAAATCCAGCTCCAAAATCACCCATAACCCACGCACTACTGTTATATTACATCTCTGCTTTTAGCCTTCATAATATAAACAAAGGGTTAAAAAGACCAACATGATTCACACATCAGATCACTCAGAGGAACCTGCCATCACTAGCCAGAGTGAGAGAAACAAGCTCTGACATTCCACAACCCAGAAATACAGCACAAACACACAGCCGGATCACTGTAAGACCTGCTATTAGACCTCTGCTTTAGCCTTCATAGGGCAACAAAAGGGTTAAATCAGAGTAACAATAAAAGATGGTTGAAGTGTGAAGTGTATTTAGCTCAGGTGTCAGGAGCACTGCTAAAAATGAGAGGTGAGCTCAACTCAAAATGATATAGTAACGGATTTCATGGCTTTTCTTGAGTCGACCCAACTTAAGGACGTAAGAGTTCATACAACTCAGACTTCTTAGCTGAGCAAGAAGTTCCTTAATTTTTTAGTTCTGCATCTCAGTTAGGTAAATAAAATTAACTTGGTTTTATACTCAACTTCCCCACTAGCCAGGACTCTTTCCATCACCCAATGCTGCTAGAAATTCTTCCTCTGAGGTACACACCTGTGGATGGCTATAGCATCACTGGGGCTCAAACTCACAACCTTCTGTTAGGGTGACGGCTTAGTCGACTGCACCATTCAGCAACACATGAAGCATCTCAGATTTTGTGTCTACAAATGTTTCACACACTGGAGAAAATATTTGTTGTTTTAACTTTAAAGCATGGTACAGTGTCATGTGGTCTAATAATTCATCCCAACATCAGGAGGTTGCAGGTTTGAATCCCAGCAATACCATAGCTGTCCATATCCTGAAGCCCAAGAGGAAAATATGCCAGATGGGACTGTTTGATAGAGGAGTGACTGTTAGGGGGGAACTTGAGTAAAGAAAACAAATTAAGCTTTTTTATCTAACTGATATACAGACCTAGAAAAGGTAGCCAGGAAGACTTTTGACTCAAAGTTTGAGTTGGGTGAGCTCTCGTGTCTTCAAGTTGAGTCAACTCAACAAAAGCCATGTAATCAGTGACATGTTGAGCAGATCTCTCATTTTTTACAGTGAGTCTGATTTGAGGAAGAAGCACAAGAGCCTTATAAAAACCTGAGCTCAGCTGGATGAGAGGGAGAGGACCACACAGGCAAGGAAAGGAGTTTGACTTGAGTTCAGGCGCTGCTCAAAAGCAGTGTTAGTGCTTGTGTTTCAAGTCAAAAGTAAAATAAATGGTCAACCTGCAGTGTCCCTTTTTTTCTAGACCAGCACAGACACTTCTAAGGGTTAGTCAGTACAGTCCAGGGTTGGGGAACTGAGTGCCGGAGTCCATTAGAGTTTGCTGACCCTGCTCAAACACACCAATTAAACCTGGCAATTAACTGATGAGTTGAATCAGGTGGAGCAGGTGGGGTTCCCCCCTGAGTGGGAAACTCAGGTCCTGGAGAGCCAGATTCCTGCACCAAAATGTGTTTCCCAAAGTTGATTAGACCCCAAAAACTGTGTGGACGTTTTTCACACACAGTTGGTTTTTTAGGGAACCAAAAGTGGTTCTTCTGTGGCATCATTTCAAAGAAACCCTGCTCAGCACCTTTATTCGTAACCTCTGTCCACGGGTGCCTTAGTGGCCATTCCTGTGGCTAAATGGACATTGGCCCAAACATTTGGTGACACTTTATTTTGGGTGGTCATTTTTGACAAAACAAACACTCAATGGACTCTCAGTAACATGTCAAAAGCATATGAAGGTTAGGATTAGGTCCAGGGTGAGGGTTAGGATTCGTTTTTGGGTTGAGGTTAAGGTTAGAATAAGGATTAGGGCCAGGGTTAGGGTTAGATTTTGGGTTGAGGTTAAGGTCAGGGTTAGGGTCAGGGTGAGGGTTAGGTTTTGGGTAAGGTTGAGTAAGGTTAGGTTTTGCGTAATGGAAGTAACGTATTAACAATACATCTACTTAATGTAAGTAATGCATCAACAGAACATCTACAAGATATTTACTTTGATGTATTCAGATGGTTCACTACTGATACTTCACTGATATGTTGTTGATGTGTTACTGATAATCTGTTAAGAGTTTATTAATCATCTACAAAGGACCACTGCAAATAGTGTTACCAAAAATTTTATTAACATTATGACATTATCTTTAACTCTGTTATCAGATTAACTAGGACACTCTTGGTTGTCTGTGTGTGAAATGTTGTGACTCTGTGTTGAGCTGCTAGTGAGCAATGAGGGGTGAGAACCCACTGCTTTGAGAACAATACATACCTCTCCACAAGGACGGCCATGCTGAGACTAAATAAACAGCACAAATGCGGCTTTCTTCATATCAAAACATTGTGTACAACCTCCACAACAAAAACATAATTTAAACCCAATTAAAAACTCTTCTGACTTGCTTGCTCACCTACAAAGACGAAAACCCAGAAGGTTTTGTAAACAGTGCACAATTGCATTAAAATATTCCATCACAGTTCAGCTGAGGACCTTATAAACAGGTGAAAATTGCATTGTCTTCTGTGAGAAGGGGTTAAGAGTGTATGTTTATGTGTGTGTGTGTGTGTGTGTGTGTGTGTGAACCTGCCTCCCTCTCTGCAGTGTCAGGCTAAGCTTTGATCAGGCGGTTAATCTCCATTAGTTTATTCATTAGACTTGAAGAACTGCTGTAGCGCTCACACTGACATGTGAGGGCGAAAAACGCAATGACTTCAGAAAAAAAACAGCAAAAGATAACAAAGACTCTCCATAACAGGTGTCATATATAAATAGATCAAAGGGCGGAACACTGGAGCACCCCCCCACATTCACCCCTCTACCTTCAAGAACACCCCTCCACCCCCTTTCGCCTCTATAAAGCATGAGACTCCAGAAAGGATGGCATGCAGAAAAAGCAGAACAAGAGAGAGGCTGATCAAAGACCTAGATAAACTCGGGGAGATAAACTAGGGACTCAGAGAACTATACATAACTGCAGGCTTTCACTATAGAACTATATGCAAGAGCAGAGAACTGGGTCTTCTGTCTGTATGTGGAACAGCTCCAACGGTTACGTAAAGACATACGTTCTGCAGCGCCGCTACAGCAAATGTGTGAAGTGCGATGCATGGTGCACAAAATACAAGAATCACTGCAGGAAAGGTTACAGAGGGCTGGAGTGACAGACTGCCACTAAGAACTAAGAACTAAGAAAACTTTCTCTGCTGCTCAGAAAGAAACAAGCAGAGACTCAGCACATTAACAGTCAAATAGTAGCGAATCATCTGTTATGACATAAACAACTGATTTTAACTTTAGTGATATTTACATATTACAGAAACACAGTATATGGCAGCGCTGGATGTTGCAGATTGTGAATATAGAAAAATAATGAAAAACGTAATAAATAATATGCCCTTCTTTCTTTCAATGCTATGTAATGTTCCCTTTAGTGTAGGAATGGCTCCCAACCTCCCCCCCTTTATCCCAAACATAGTCAATCAGCCAAGGCATGTTTGGTGTCTGAAGTTTGCTTCTTTAGTCCACTGCAGCTAAGAATTAATGTACATTGGTACATCAAATACAGTACTGCCTACAGCCCATGTGTCCAAACATGGCTGGCCCGCCGGCCAAGTCAGGCCCATGACACAAACCTATATGGCCCGCAAAATTATTTTAATTTTCTATTCCGTTTCTATTACAGTCAAAATGTGCAAATCAAGTCCAGACCTCAGTATCACTGAGTGTGTTTGGGATTAGTTGGACTGTGAAAAGCAGCCAAAGCAACCAAGTTCTAAGACTGAACTTTGGAGGTGTGAAAAAATATCCTTTATTACTGAAGGAATAAATACTGAAAAAATAGATATTGTATTTAGTTGTTGAGACTTCTGTGTAATTTTCTGTTTAACATATGTTTACTGCATTTTTTCCCTGACACTGAAAAATGAAAAACTTGTATTTAATGGCTGTTTTAACCAAAAATAAACAGAAGGGTGCTTTCTGAGCTTGGAACAGTATTGTATGTCACCCGAAATCCTTCTTGGGTGACTTCTATTACATTAGCCTGAAGCTGCAGGGCAAAACTAAAGAAGCATACTTTAGATACCATTCCTTCAAGAAGACAAATCCAAACAAGCTCTTTTAGATTTATAACATATCCTTTAGCAATAAGCAGCAGTGATTAAGAAGAGTTCATTAATGTTATTAGGGTAATCTTAAACGTCTCGTGTGATAAATTTGTCATGCCATAACATATTTAGAAAAATAATGAAATTGAATTTTAGCAATAGCGCACAACACTAACACACAGACCCATGGCAGACATACCCACACACCCGCACCTACACAGAAAACAGCATAAGAAGTGAAATGTTTACCTGCAGCAGCCAGTAGCACCTGCGGTGGAAGGTGGGGATGATGGAGGAGTGCACATAACAGCCATAGAGACACTGCAGAGAGAGACATCACAGAGAAAGAGAGACAAACACGCAGTTAGTACAGCACACAGTGTCTCACTCATCACCCAATCCTACTCAGTTCCCCCCACACGAGCATCTGAGCTGTAAACCGCAAAACAACACCGCTAAGGTCAGCGAGGTTATTTCAAGGTCATGATCACCACCATGCAGGTGTTGGTTCTCTGTCTGTCTCCCAGGCTGCAGTCAAGAGCCGAATGAGCATTAGTTGTTATCAGTTATTATTACTTACACAGCTATTACATTGTTATTAATTGTAAGTTTGTTATGCAATAATTTACATTTACATTTAATTTTACACTTTTACACTTCTGACTTTGTTTCAGCATCAAGAAAGGATAAAAATGCAAAGGATGCTTTTTCTTTGCACAAAACAAAACTGTACAAACAAGTATAACTTCTTATTAAGAATGTCAAACAAAGAAACAATTAATTAAGATAATAATTAATCACAATCTTTTTTTATGCTCAAGTTTAAAGAGATTTTACCTTTTACACAGCAGCATATTTGGCTATAGCTATATTAGTGGACAAAATAAGCTTCTTCAGAATGTGTTTATTGCTTTCAGTGGCCTGTTTACGCTTGGCATTGATATTTGTCTTGAGCGATCTCTTCATAAGTGGACAATAAGATTATGCCCGGTGTTTTCTTGAGTCTTGTATGTATCTCCAGTGACCAGATAGAGGTCCTTGCTCATGTACATATAAGAGCATTCCATGTCTTGCTAACACAACATGCAAACGAACAATAAATCTCTGCTGGGATTTTGCAGCTGATTAAGGTGGTCCTCTGAACCTGTCAAGGGTGCATCAGGGTGCTTTAGCATTTAGGGTACAAGCGGTATTAGGTCATATGCATCCCTGACCATAGACCCCTTTATCTAGTGCTGTCTATTTATGATTGAATCACCCACAAAAAATTAAACAAGGAAAAAAAGTATAAAATAAATAGATAAAATAATAGTAATAAAATTGATAAACAATTAATTAAGGCTAATAAAAAATATACAATTAAAATATATTAAAATTAATATTAAAAAAGCACCATGTTTTGCCTGTAAATGATACTTAAGACTCGATGTGCTTCAGTGATAAACAAATTCAAAGTATTGCAGTACCTGGGAACATTTCTGGTTTTATCAAGCGAGAAACTTTCCATTTGAAAGCATACAGTGTGGGAGCTGTTGAAGTGGAACTATGCATAGTTTGAAAGGTCAAAGGAAAATGCATTAATGTTAAACAAATCAGTAGCATTAATCATTTATCACATTAATAACATGTTAACTCTGACACCACTACTTCTTACCAAATTCAAATTAGAATAAAACGCCTCTTTTATTTGTCTTTACAAACACAAACATAGTATTGATTGCAACTTTAGAATCTGCACATCTGACAGAATCTCTCTGCTTCTTTCAATGAGCTACGATTGAGAATGACTTCAAATCACATAACAACATGCTTGTGTTCTCCCCTATAACAGAACTATAACATCTAAGGGTTATTAAAAAATGATGAGGCAGTTTCCAGGGCCTGACCTGCACACAGAGCAGCCCTACAGACCTGCTGATCATGAATACATCTAAGTGCCCTTGGAGACACGAGCACTTCAGTGGGCTGGTCTGGTGTGTAGGACCGGTTGAGGATGCAGGGAGGTGTGTCTGCTGCTCGGTTTGTAAATAGTCATGGCTGTTTAAGCAGCAGGCAGGATACAGAAAACATGTATGTGGATCAGGGCTGTTATTGGCTGTGGCCATTTTGCCTTTGTTCCAAACGCTGTTTGTAAGCGCTTAAGCCTCAGAGCTTCGGCCTTTAGGGATAAATCACATCTCCAATTCTATGGTTACAGCCCTCTACAATGCACACAGGGAATGACTATTTATCTGAGAAGAAAAGGAAAACAAAGCTGTCTGAGTACAAGAAGTCCCATCTTATGAGTGCATACACACACACATACGCGCACACACACACACAAACACACACACACACACATACGCGCACACACACACACAAACACACACACACACATACGCGCACACACACACACACATACGCGCACACACACGCACACACACACACACACACACACATACGCACACACACACACACATGCACACACACACACATACGCGCACACACACACATACGCGGACACACACACACACACACACACACAGAGGTTCGTTTTTATATCTTCTCATGACAAACATACACGTTCCGTAACATTACTGTTCTTTATTTATTATTATTATTATTATTATTATTTATTATTATTAGGGGATATGAAACATGGCCTGTGCAAAAGAATTTTATTTATTTATTTATGTTATTTATTTTCCAAACTGTTAAACTCATATTTAAAAAAAATCTGTATTTAAGTGTGCTCTTACTAGAGGATGTG